AATATGGCGGAGGTTTTTACTATATGTTAGATTTCAACATAATTATTTTGAAACGAACCTATTTGCCAACCCAATATATACACCTATTAATTATAACCGTCTCTTATGAATTTTTTTTAATTATCCCTTAAAGTATTATTGTTCGTATGATTACATTTCATATAAGTAATTATTTTTCATCTATTTCTTCCGAAGTAATTATCTTTATATGGAAAAAGAACTCTAGGGCTGGAATTTCCCCAAATTTAAATTTTGAATCCGCTTCTGTTACGAACTGACATTATAATAATTATTTGAAGCGACATTACAAGATATACTCCCTTCCATAAACCTAACTTGATATAGTATAGAGAAGACATCGAAGTTGGAAGCGCCTAGCTGACACCCACAGATATTCCACTTACCCGACGGCAACTATCGGACTAATTACTGAACTATAATCTTATAGCTCTAGCTAGTAGCTAGAGAGCCGGATTGTGGACCAATCGGAGAAGAGCATTCGGTTCGGAAGACGTGCAATTACTCAGAATGCAGTCGGTGGTACGCCCCTCAACCCCCCAGCTGCAGATGCACTCAGCTCTGCTCTTGCTAATTAGTTTCTGAGTTGATTGTAATTTCATCCACTTCCTAACCAACCGCCTCTTGTAGCTTGCAGCTTCTTGTTTAACTGTTTAACTGCCTCCTTTAAATATTGTTCCCACTCTCTAATTGCTTATAATATAGTTAGCTCCTTCCGTAGGAATTTCAACCAACTTTTCAGGTGCAAATTAGAGGTGGCCCAAAGAAGAAGAATTTATATTTTTTTAAGGTGGGTTTAGGCATTTCACAAACAATGAGACTAGTTTTTCCCAAAATCGGTCTTGGTATTGCATTTTGTATGACCAAGACCAAGATGGCCTAATTGTTGCAAGACCAAGACGAATTAAAAAAAAATAATAATAATATTTTTCTAAGGTTAAAGCAAATATACTTCCATTTTTCTTTAGTATTTTTCAATCACATCCTCCTCAGAGAATTCTTTGTGTTTACTGAAATTATACATATTTGAAATGAACTATTTTTACATTGTTAATCTATTCCATCGGGGAACGGGGTAGCTCAGTGGTAGGGCACTGAGCTTCCAATGCAAAGGCCCCGAGTTCGAACCCCGGCTCATAGCAGAAAATTTATTTATCTGTCACATTGGCCGTGGGGCGACCTTGGGTCAGAAGTCCCTCCTGGGGCACACCCAGCCTCTATAAAGTGGGTACCCTTAATTAAATAATTAATTAAGGGGAAAAACCTGGCGGTTGAGCGTGATCTCGGTCAAATCACCTCCTTGCACAACCGTTGGCCTAGAAACAGTACTTTCCCTAAATAGTACTGAACCCCAGACCCTTCATGGGTTGTAGTGGTACAGGTTTTAATCTATTCCATCTATTGTATAATTATCTAACTTGATTTCGTGATGTGGCACAAGTTGTCAAAAAATACAATAATTGTCATATTTACTTAAATATAATGCTTTTTGGTGTTACACATTTATAATAGTGTTATAAATTTACGTTCTATCAATAGTTAATAATACAGAAAAGCAAATATACTAAAGGAAAATGTATATAAACTAAACTAAACAAATGGAAACTAAACTAATAAAAAAAAATATATTTTGTTTATTTTATTTATTGTACATAGAGTGTGAATGTGATCTGTGAACTCTATTATAAATGTCCTAGAGACAGATTGTAATATTTTTCAATAAGTTTTTAAAAAATAAAAATAACTACCCACATTACACACATTCTTCTATAAAATATCGAAAAAATAAAATAAGGAATCATTCACCCAAGATCTCCGTGCCAACCCTGTCTCTCCACTCAAGGAAGGAAAGGCAGGACTCTAGAAGATCCCAGCGCCTCTAACTCAGCCGCATTACTGGTATTAAGGAACAATAGAGGCTGATCAGAGGCGCTATAATCACATATACAGGACTTCAGTGGAAAACCTGGCCGATGCCAAAACTTCAATGCATACACATTCACAAAAGATCTCTGGGCCACTGCCACTCCCACAGGAGCATTGCAGGGATGTGTAGTGCAGGATAGGGATTGTGCAAGGGGATTTAATGATAGGTAAGTTACTGGTGAAATGTGGAGAACTTTTCTGGCGTAAGGTCTAAGACAAATGGAATATTAAGGCCATGGTGCAGAGTATTGTTGGTTACATAGAATGGAGCATCAACTATTGTTCAAAGGATTTTGCAGTTTGATGTTAGAAAACTTTGCTGTTCTCCACAGTTCAAGTCCGTATGTCCACATAGGTTTCTGGATTGTCTTGTAGATAAGTAATTTGTTTTCAATTGAAAGTTTAGATTGATACGGCTATATCGTCGGTTGAGTCTTTTGAGAGAAAGCCAAAATACCGGACTGTGTCTTTTGAATCTCTAACACGGCGTCGCATCAAGGTAAAATTTTGAATTACAGCTTATTATAAATAGGATGAAAAGCTGAAAGTTTCCCTTGCTTACAGTATGCAGGTCCAATTTTTAGTTTTGAGATATTTTAATCGAAATCGACTATATCCGAATGAGCGTTACCTAGCCTTGCGTGACGGCTCATTCTTATTCAATTCCACACAAAATAAGTTTTCACTTAAAAAAATAAAAGAATTATATAATAAAAATAATGGTGAATAAAAATAAAAGTGACCAAAAAGTTTAAATACCTAAGGGAGATGATATGTAGTAACGGAACGGATAAGGCATCAATCGAAGGAAGAATAACCAAACTGGAAAGACTGAACTTCGCCACCAGGAATCTTTACAACAAGAAAAATTTGTCCTCAAATGCAAAAATAAGGCATTACTGTACAGTAGCAAGACCTGTAATATTATATGGTGTGGAAACAGTCAGCCTTCCGAGCCTAGAGAAAATCCTGAAGATTGAGAGGAAGATTCTGAGGAGGATTCACGGACCCAAGGTAACGCAAGAGGGATACATGCTAAAATCCAATAAAGAAGTATAAAAAAAATTGGAATATTTGAATAGTGAAAGACTGAACAAGAAAATTTTTGACAAAGTTTGCAGCTATAAAAGTATGGGAGGATATGTAAAACAAATAAAAGAGAAACTAGATAGGCTAAAAATCACGGATAAAGATTGCTTGGATAGAGAGCTAAAAGAGGTTGGGGTTCTTGTGGATGGGAGAGAGAGACGTGGGAGGAAATGGACTAAGGAAGAGCGAGAGGAACAGTCCAGAAGGATGAGAGAGTATTGGAGTAAGAGGAAGGCTGAGGGTGTGAAGAGGAAACGGGAATGATATTCGCGTGGTCCTTGTTGGCCGGTTCGTGTAAAAAAAAAATAATGAACTGTATAATATTGAACAGTCCTGTCAAAGATATAGGAGTCCCGAAAAATCTCAAGAAATATCTAATTAAGGGTGTACAATGCTATGATAAAGCCAGTTTTAATATATGACTATGAGACTTGAACACTTACCAGCGCCCTAGAAAAAAATATTGAAAGAGTTAGAATTACACTACATCATCAAAGTTCCTCTGTTATTGAAATTTTCTCTTCCTATCGCTGGTTATATTCAAATAAAAAGAAGAGAAGAAAAATAAAGAAAGCAATAGAAATACAGACACAAGTGACCCTGTTTAGGGAGAGAGGGAAAACGCTGCAATATTAAACATTCATTGCGATTGTACTTTTTGCATGAGAGACCCCCGTCCCTTTGTAGCCACTCCGAGATTGGCCCTTTTAATTAATTCAATCCTTTTATTGGCCGTTTAAAGCCGTGGAGTTAGGTAGGGCGGGGGGTCTAAAGCCCTGAAGTTGGGGGGCTAAAGTTATAAATATTTATTTTCAATTTCGGCGGGGCCCGAACCAATAACTGGGCACAATAGATTTATTATCTTATCAGATTATTTTTAATAGAGACCCACCTTATTTCGCCGAATTTCTCAATACTCCTAAATTGTATTTTTAAATAGATTAAAAGTAAAGTTTTAGAATTTTTAATGACTCTTAACAGTTTAAAATTTATTTTTAATTGTGTTCTCATACTAGACTGAAACGACAAGAAACCGCTCGACTTTTCCGATTACTTCAGCACTTACGAGACAAACGCACTAACCTTTCAATTAATTACAAACGACTCATATACATGACTATAATAAGGCCTATTTGGACTTACGGAGTGTAGCTATGGGGCTCCACTAAACCATCGAATTCCTCTCGTATCCAATCCAAAATCCTTCGTAAAATCCTCAATGCTCCCTACTTTGTTACAAACAAAACCATCCATAATGGCCTTAATGTTTCTTTTGTTTCAGATCTGGCCTAATCCAGATACCTATCCTTTCATAATAAACTTCAGAATCATCCCAACCCTCTCATTTCTAACCTTGCTTCCTCTTCAACTCCTGATAACCCTCCGAGGCGTCTGAAAAGAAGATGGCCCCACGATCTCCTAATGTACATATCATTAGAGTGCTACTATGTTCAAATTTACTTGATGTATTTATTTAATACAGTTGTAAATATCATTTAGAAATAATTTTAAAAAAATTGTGTTCTAATATACACTTTTTCATGGGTAGATTACTATTCTTAAAGTTTTTTACTTTTTTTAAAGTTTTTCAATTGAGGAGTTCGGTGCAAGAAGGAGACAGCTTCAATTAGTGCCTCTATTGAATTGCAAATCGTATCACATACAAAAGAAAAAGGCGCTTCGTTTGGTACAAGAATGAACCAGCTCCACCCGCTTATTCCAGAGAAATCCGGCAGATGGAGCTGCCTCGTTCTTCCTCCAAATGATACCAAACAATAAATATTTAATAACTAAGTACAAACTATTCCTCTATAAACAGACATATATCTGTAAAGGGATTATTCAATGCAGTGTCTTCGATAATGCGCAAATTTGAAACGATGGAATTGCAGGTCTCATAACACTGGATCACCTTCATCAAGCTTATGATTGTCTCCTCCCGCTTAAAGACCAAAAGTTTAAAGATGTCAATGAGCTGGCCAGAAAGTAAGTTCGGCAAAACGAAATGTGGTTTTAGGGCCAGCTGACGTCAGATGCTTCAAACGATCCTGAGGAGACTGAAAGAGAGCTGGAAGACTAAAGAAAAACTGTACATATTGATGTATTATGCCAATAATGTTGTATTTTCTTTGTTAATAAATGTTTTGTAGACTGAAATATGGTTAATTCTGGAAAAAATGGTCCTGCAAAGGGTTTTTAATTCATTCCAAAATTCCATTGCACTTACCTGAGCACATGAATTTGTGTGTATCCTGGCCAGTTGTGTTTGATACACCATAACCTAACACAAGTCTGAATATTTTTTGGTTTCAGTGAAAACTGAATTTTTAAAACGTTTTTTTAATTTGCTACATATTGGAAAAAGTGGATCTGCATCCTTCTTGCACCAAACTCTTCAATTTTAAAGGTATTTTCTAGACGTTGGAACGACATAAAACATTAAAATTTATTCCAAGGAAGGTCAGTATAGCTTCCTCACCACTTCTACTGCTTACATAATTAACTATATTTTATATCATTCAAGGTCATTTGGGAATCAAATCTGTCGGAGGAAGCCGTTTTTGAAGTATGCTCTTGTCAAGAAAAAATACAGTCCTATGCGAAAGAAGTAGATTGAACTTGATAAATCGATATTGAACCATCTATATTATTCAGATTACATCAAATCGAATGAACAGCAGTAGTTGTTAGTCTAAAATCTAACAATCAAATACTACGGTATAAATTATGACCAAAAAAAGGATAAATAAAAAGATAATAAAACAATTTTTAATGAATATAATTTTCTGTCGGAATCTTTACTTGTTTGGCGCCTGGCTTTACTAACCTTTCATCTCTAAAGAGATAATTATAGAGAATATAAGTTACTTACCCATGAGTTGGCCATGATTAATCATTTATCCTACCATGCTAGCTCAGGTGAGAAGGGGTTAGGTTGGATATTTTTATAAAGCAGCAAAAAAGGTTAACAGATCTATTTACAAAAAGAAATATTTACAGAATTAATACTATGTACAATAAAAAGAAATAAAATGCAAGGGAAAAGAGAGAATTTAAAAATAATTACTATATACAATTAAAGATAAATAGGAAGATATTTAAGATAATACAAATAACAAAAAAGATACTTATTCTATATACAATATTATGGTATGCCACATCTAAACATGAAGAAAAGATAGTCAAGATCTAAGATGTAAGAGCACATGCACATGCTAAAATACCAATTAGTCATCTGGCACCGGAAACAAAAGAGAGTAGTGTTTTTTTTTTCACTGTTTCCTTAATCTTGGTTACAAAATCTACCCTCTCTTTCCATATGTTTACAGCGTACCACATTTTACAGCAATTAATGCCAATTTTTAAATGAAAGGGAATTCATTTTCGAGAGTAGACAGATTAACAATAACTTCAATGAATGATTTTTTTTTTTTGTCCTCTCCTTCATATTTTAGGCTATACGGGTCTTTTCCCATGAGGGCGGGGATTCGATGCTTGAGTTAAAAGTCCTACCCCGTCACTGGACGTGAACTCACAGGACGTAATAATTTCATGATACTTACTCCAGTTAATCAGGTTGTCGGAAAATGCATGGTTAATAACTAAGCATGGGTAATTGTACAATTATAAACCGTGAGCTTATTGTGTGGTTGTAGATTCTTGTAATGTAATCCTCCCATAGACGTTACACGACCTCGAACAAGACGATTAGGACGAGATCCCTCCAAAAGCTCCACCACCGCTAATTTTCTCCTCCACTTCTTGAAGTAGAGCGGTTGTGTCCCTATTTACATAATACACCGATAGCACCTCCGACCTGGGAGTATGTAAATAGTCTGCTTAGCATCACTTCAAAAGAGGGCATATTCTTAATTCCAGGAGGCTTGTTAATGATAGCCTCCTTGCGGCTCCAGGATCGTCCTGGGTGATGGTCGTTGGCGGCGATAAGGAGGGTACGCCATGCCCCCGAGACCATCAGTATTCAAAGCAAATCTAACTGAGGGGGGCCTCACGTCGGAATAATGCTTTCTCTGGAAATAAGTGGACGCGTTGAACGAGCTTCCTTTATCCTGTTAGGTGGAAGTCGGAATGTTCGCTTCGCTGCGTACTCGATTGTCGTTTTTATTCTTATAAAATTGGATTAAATACGTTGAAGGCTTAGGATTTTTTCATAGCTGTCTTATATTTTGGTAATGAGAGATAATTAATTATTTAAAATAAACCAAATTAAAGGTACTTTAGAGGAAGACATGTTGAACATTTAAGCATTTAATCCCTTATTATTATTATTATTATACTTAAAATTTAAGCATTTAAGTAAAGTGACATCAATGGAGATAAGACCTCAATGATATTAATGACCTCTTAATTATACAATCATACTCTGAGTTTAATTGAAATCGTTAGAGCTGTTTTTGAAAAAAATGTGTATCACGGTTCATATAAAGTGCTAGTTCTGTTAACTTATTTTAATAAAAATTTGCAGTAACATCTCGTGTATATAGCTATCTGAAATACGTAATGTCAGTTTCTTGCGACTTTTCGTATTTCAGCTAGATTGTTAAGATAATTTTGTGGAACTTGGTTATTTCGACTCAAAACGTGTATTTCCGTTGAAAACTCAGATTCGAAAATTTTCACGATCGCAATACTTTCCCATATTATATATTACATATATAGTCAGTGAAGAAAATTTCCCGTGGTTCCAAGAGTTCATAAATGGCTGTAAGACGGCGGTGGGCCTAGTGGCGCTTCACCATAGGTGCACGCAGAAGGAGAAGAGGACCAGTCCCAGGAAGACCTCCGGATTAGGGAAGCCAGGCCTAATTTGTAGAAGAATGAGAAAAAGTAGAAGAGTTTTTTGTAAACCGATATTATGGCAGTAGTGTGTTATTATGCATTAATGCTTAACATCACACTACTGCATACACCCGTGTTGCCCTGGTGGCATGGGTGGGTGGAAATTAAATAAATATAGGTAAGCGAAAGTAATAATAATCAAAACGTATATAAAATTAATCAAAATAAAATAATATAATGATAAGTTAATTTAAAAAACACACACACATGCCGTGACCACACATATCTTGAGTGGAGAATCTGGCCATTGCCAGAACTCTATAGAGTTACATACAAGAAAAGATCACGGGGCCACTGCCGTTTTAACTTTTTCGCATGATTATAGAGATGGTGGTGCTAGATAGGAATAGTGCAAGGTGATTTGGATGATACGTAAGGTTCTGGTGAAATTTGAAGAATCGCTTCCGCTGTATATAAACTTAAATTGATAATTAATTAAATGACAAATATTTTTTTTTTACGAATTTGGAAAAGCAAATTTAGCTTAATATATCATAAGACAAATTCGGACCCTAAACATTTCTTTTTATAAAGATTTATTTTTAAAAAATAAGTGTGTTTATAACACAGACAAATATTTTATTTTTTATTTCAAATTATTTTCTAAAGCTAACATAATCCAATATAGCACACAGAGGGACAAGTACATCGACATTGAGAAATCCCATAACTGCATCGATGCAGATCGGCCGCAAGGTGCAGGCTGCAGAGCACTGCATTGCGGCTGCCCTTCCTTATCCTGCCCAATTTTATCAATGTCCACCCCCTTCCAGTGCTCGCTTCGCCCCCCCCCCTTGTCGAGGACGTGATCCAAATCTCGCTGCGTCGCTCTTGTTAGCCGCTCCTCCTCGAGTCCTTCTCCAATTGTGCCCTCAATGGCCCGGACTCAATAACTCTCCCGCCCTTACGGTTCGAGTACCGCCTCACATACGTCATGGCGAATTCTATAAGTGAAGAGCCTTGAAGGAGTTTATAGTGAAGGATTCTTTTAGTTTATAAGGAAAAAGAAAAGTTTAAGGGTCAGTTTCTGGTTAGTGGTAGTTTTTTTTTATTGAATAATAATACAATCACTCACTGTTGGAGGGATATAAATATTAAGGCTAAAAGTTCTCATTCGTACAATATATACAAGTAATATAAAAAAGTAAATAGTTAATACTGATAAAAAAAGTAAATAAATAAGAAAAATAAACAAAATAAAATAAAAACTTCTTAACACATTCATACCTATATACAATATACATTCGCCCAGGAATCTCCGAATTTTCCCTGCACATGTGGAAGGCAAAGCACAGGACTTCAGGTGATTCCACGGCCATTTTTCCAGCCGTATCACTAGTATCAGAATCCAGTGGAGACTGAAAGAAGGAACTAGAGCCTCAGACTCATATTTACAAGAGATCTCGAGGCCACTGACGTTGCAACCTTCGAGGGGGATGGTTATGGATGTTCGGAGCTGGATGGGGATTGGGATGATGAATGAGATTCTGGTGAAAGTTGGAGAATCTGGATGGGGTAATATCAAGGAAATATGGAATGTTAAGGTCATGGTGTAGGGTCTTGTTCGTGACATAAAATGGAGCATTGACTATTGTTCGAAGAACTTTGGACTGGAAGGATTGGATACGTTTGATATTCGACGATTTAGTTGTCCCCCACAGTTCAAGTCCGTAGGTCCAGATAGGTTTCAGTATGGTCTTGTAGATTAATAGTTTGTTTTCTGTTGAGAGATGAGATGTTCTGTTTAGTAGTCTATATAGCTGGCCAAATCGTCGGTTAAGCTCTTGTCTTTTAAGTCTCGTATGTGGGTTCCTAGTTAGTCTTTTGTCTAGAAGGAAGCCAAGGTATCAGACCGTGTCTAAGTAGGGAAAAGGAATTGAATTAAAAAGGATGGACTGACGGGATCCGCGTCGAAGAGAGAAAGTGACATGTTTGCATTTTGATTAATGAATCATCAATACAGAAATGGAAACAATACAATCAATACAAAATAAATGAATTTTGATGCTCCAGTTGTCGCACCAGTGCTCAATCAAGGAGAGTTTTCTTTGCAGGATTCGGGATGCTGTTAGAGGATCTGAGTGGTAGGATAGGATGGTGGTAGTTTTATAGCACAAAAAACAAATATAAATATATTTCCAACGGTGCACACTGGAATGGTGTTAACGGTACTGTTGGACATAGTTTTCCTATCATGTCATACATTTTTTTAATTAATTATCGAATTAATAATGCCCTGATATAAGATAATAGTAGAATAAATGAAAATCGTCTTTTTTATATTTATAGCTAATTTGTCGGTATTTTTTGTTCAAAAATGACAGGATGTGCTGGGCATAATTAGGTACTTATTATAAATTCAATAAAAGTTGAAACATCGATTTTCAATAATACATAGTTGTTACGACGTTTCAAACAGTTGCAAGCAAATTTGGTACATATCGCAAATCGCCTGAAATCTTCCGAAAAACTACATAGACCCTAATGATAAAAAAGATTTGAACTTCTATAAACAGTTTTCAAACCTTGCCCCAACCACTGCCGCCCAAACCTGCCGACCGGGAAGTTATTGAGGATTTAACACGCGGGTACGTTTTATTTAGATTGACTACCATTATTTTTTATTTATTTAATTTTTTTTTACTAGCGTACTAGAGTTACTATTGACCCAGTTTTTGATTAAATAACATCTAATTATCTGTACTGAGCAAATTATGAACATATCAAGGGTTTAATATATAAGTTTTAAAAAATATTTTTTATTATAACGTACATGTCACTTTATATATTTATATTTTAGTATAATATATCATTATGAAATAGGTAATAAATTATAAAATATCTGAATAATGTAATGTTAACAATACAAGATATGGATTTTAAACAATCTATTGGTATCTACCATCAGCGGATGCAGGATTTAATTTTTTGGGGAGGGGTGGAGCTTCAGCCCGAAAGCTTTTTTTTTTCATACATTTAACGATAACTAATTTGAAAAAAAGAAAGAAATTAACTACCTATGAAATGGTGTTTACATGGTTTTTAAAGTCATATTAAATGTAATTACACCAATAGTCTGTGGGCCAGACCCCCTTACCGTGCACCCCCCCCACATCCCTATAAATTGCATATCGTTGTGTTCCTTGTGACAATTTATTAAAAAAAAGCCAATGTTCCCACAAAAAAAAGTGAACGAACTGCCCCAAAATGGCGTCCAAACATGGCGGATTGACGACTTTGACTTTAGTTAGTTTTTTTGTTACTGAGAATCAGCATTTGGCTTAATTTCATTATAGTTGGTCTTTTATTAAAGCTGGATAGTCATAGAATAATAAAACATGAAAAAATATTAAAAACTAATTGGTTTAGGCATAAAAAAAAATCGGTAAAGTCAATTTTTGTTACAAAAAAATTTTCAAGTTTAAAATCAAGCGTCGTTTGTAATTAAACTGTCAACAATAATGCAAAACGTGCTGAAATAAAACATCTGGAGAATACATTTTTCTTTCTAAAACACTGATTACTTTTTAAAATATTTGAAGTAGTTCCGTATAAAATGTACATAAGCGGCAGAAAAGCGCTACTGGCGTAGGTGCCTCAGGCCTCTACCACACCACTCAGTACTCATAAATGGCTTAGTTATAGTGCTATAATAACGTTTTTGTTATATTATATTGATTGTATTAACAAACAAATATTAATAAAATAATTTATTTGTCAAAAAATTTTTTTTTTAAATTTATTATTAATTTTTTTATCTATTATTATTTATTTTTAAAAATTTAACTTCCTTTATTCTATACGGAGGTCGCTTAAGAAGGCCTCTATTATAAAAATTATATAATTATAATAATACAACTTAATTAAAAAATACTTTGCAGAATATCTTGAATTTTTTATTTAATATTTGCAATTTAACATTTTGTTTTATATATTTCCTGATTCTTAGAGGTAATTTAAATTGTATATACTTCCCCGGAAATGAGTCATATCAATATCTGTTTTATAAACTAAAATAATATATACCTAATCTGAACTACTTTTAATGAATAGATGATAGATTGTTTAGTAAAATTCAGAAACGACAAAGGAAGTGCCAAAATTTGGGAAAAAGAA